ACATGCTGGGATGTCCCGAAGTATTACTTATATATGCATGGAAAGAATGAATTAAAGGCAAAGCAAATCACGCAATTAAAAGAAAAAAAAAAGAAGCTCTCACTGAATCAGAACACTAGTGTGCGGGACCCACTAGAATTTACGATTTTGACCTCACCTTAACGGGGAATGTACCGGGGGGCAACGTCGCCGTCAGAAGCTCACGCATGCGCTTGACGGCCTTAACTTTATTCGCCAAGATATCAAGTAACGGCAGCAACTCCTCCGTCTTCAGCGGAAACTGCTCCGTCAGCCAGACCACCGGCCGTAGACTTTTGGCGTATTCCTTCTCTTTCGTTAGCGGCGGCGCGACAAATCTCTCCGCCGCAGACGGCGGAGCGGCTCTCCTGGAGTCGATCGGAATTATATCCACGCTCTTCCGGGAAACCGTCACGAACTCCCGATCCCCTCTCACGAAGCTGCTGTGCCGGCGCTGCCTGTCGTTGGAGACGCTGAATCGTGGATTCTCCGCCACGATGAAATCCTCGTCGGAATCTTCGTCGATCTCCAACGGCAAGACGCACGTCGGCGAGAACGGATCCTCCCTGTTCTCGGCGGCGTTAACTTTACGCGATCTGAAGGTGAACGTGACATTGTGCATTTCGTAAACCCTAGCTTTCCAATTCCCCACGCTCTCCTTTTTCTCCTGGCGTCTCCAATTTGTGCGGCCGACCAATTCGGCTTTGGTGACGTCCATTCCTGGACGATAGACCTTGGTTTGGTTGCAGAGAATTGAAAGGTCGGTGTTCGACAATGGATTTCCGGCGTTCTCAAACACGTCGTAGTATCTCTCCTCGTCGTGGTTGAGGATGAGGAGGGAGCCATGGGGTATGTCGATGTTGTTGTTGTTTGCGCAATCGAATTCGTTTAGGAAGAGAATGCTCTGGTTGGCACGCTGGACTTTCAGGCCGTCGTACCCGGCGAATGAGGTGTCCGCCCGCAGGTTTCCGTCGCGCTTCCAGATTTGCAGGTGTCGGACGGAGCGATTTTCCCGACGAACGGGACGATGCAGCTCTCGAAGTGGAAGGTAATCTCCATGTAGAAATCGCGCATCCGACGGAGGGCGGCGACGAGGCGGGGGAGTCGCCGGCGCCACTTGTGCCAGGCGTCGATGTGGTGGTGCTGGACGAGGGGGGAGACGATCTCCGGACATCGCCGGAGGAGGGCCTCCTGCAGCGGGTTCCATCCAGCGGCGTTCTGAAGTGTAATGTTGGCTCCGGCGGCGACGAGTGCGCGAACTGCGGCAGCATCTCCGAGGCGGACGGCTAGGTGTAGTGGGGTTTCTCTGAGTGGGTTATCGCGGTTGTCGAGGGCGGCGGAGATTTGTTCAGCGAGGTGTTCCTGGGAAAGAGATTCGGACTCGGTGAGAATTCGGGTTGGATCGGGCAGTTTGGGCAGGGCAGAGAGGAGTTTGTTGAGGGTGACGTGGTTGCCTGAGGCGACGGCGTAGTGGAAGGGGCTGGCGGCGTAATCTAGAGGGCGGATAACGGCGGCCGTCTTCGAGGACGAAAATGCTGAAGACTTGGACATCTGGAATTTCTGCGCCGCCGTTTTGTTTATCTGAAAATTGAGCTGCAAATCATGAGAGAGGTTGAAATGGGGAAGAAGACCGGTGGGTATGAATTCCGTCCTTTAATACTTCTCTTTCTAATTTATCAAATAATAATAATTTAAATAATTTAAAATTCCGCGCTCTATGTTACTTTTTATTTTTTCCAAAGGGACGAGTTGTCCTTTAATTAGGAGTCAATTACCATCTTGTCCTTTAATTAGGAATCAATGACTAATTATGATGTGAAACATTGGGGGTAAATTGGTCATTAGAGAAGTAGGTGCTACACATTATGTAGACTAGGTCCCAATCGGGCACGGCTTTTTGTGACACTTTAATTTGGTTTCCATTTCCCACAACTTACACAGTTTTCTCCTCCTCTTCTCTTTTGTCTTTTATCCTCATTTGGCTTTTTCACAGCATTTACGCAATTACTTTTAATTATTTTGGGATTAAGTTTTTTTTTTTTTGGTGTTCATATAACAATGATCTATGAGCACAATCACTAAAACTGAAACTACAATATGCAAATATTATGAATAATATATTATGCAGTCTTTTGAAATCCGGACTGAACCTGCCGGTTGAACCGGTTAAACCACGAACCATTACCTTGTCCGGTTGAACCGTAATATTAGAACATGAGTCCGGTTTTCAAAATATGGATAGTATGTAGCATAAATTTACCATTAAGTCATTAACATGTATACATAATAAAGAATTAATGGAGATTTAGATGAATGGGCCTTGTAATCTTAAGGAGGTATAAATGGGTCAAGTCGGGCATGCCTTCTAATATTAAGGAGGTCTAAATGGGTCAGGTTGGCCCAATTTAATTGGATTAAGTTAACCACATCTGTCTTTATCCCATATTGTTATAACGAACAAATCTTTTCAATCAAATTTCCGGTTCATCCAAACTTTGGTTGGTCAAACCAATTATTAATTTAAGCCTAAACAATCTTTCAATGATTAATTTTTTAGTCAAACTTAAAGTTCTTTGTTTCATAAAAAAAAATCAATTATTTTTTTGGACTGTACCCTAATTATGTTTTAGCAATAATAATAATAATAATAATAATAATAATAATAATAATAATAATAATAATAATAATAATAATAATAATTGATTTTTGGACCACCAACGTTGTTATATGCGTAGATGGCGTAATTTTTAATTGATTAAAAAATGTGTTTAAATTTGAAGGCGGGGGGCCCACAACTACAATCTGGCATATAGAGTAGTCTAGCTGGCACATTTCACTTCTATCCATTCAGGTGGTTGGGACTTTTGGTAATTTTCTTATATTTGAAATATATATATTGAAAATTTTCCTTTGTAATTAATTATCGTTGCACTTATAAAAAAAAAAATTATCGTTGCAAGAAAATAGAACGGATTCTAATTAAACAATATTAAAAGAAAAATAAAAATATAAAGATCCATATATGCCAACAATTGTTATCAAAATCAAATGCTCCATTTTATTATAATTTAAAAATCTTTGTATCTACTCAATTATATAAAAAAGAGCAAATAAGATTTATTGCATCAAATAAAAAGGCAAGTAGATTTATTTACAGGTCATATAAATCTCGAATTACAGATCTATATACACACACGAATACATATATATGGCCTGAATATTGAACGTTTGCAGTGAAGTTCCCACTCCTCCGCCACCATCCGCCACCATATCTATTCATGCAGAGAAACACGCACAGGGAGAAAACTTGGTAATCTGCATTGCTTCTAGACATGTTTTATACCATGGCAGATATCAATTGAAATCAGCCACAATTGAATCGCACACACATTTGTCGATTCTCTTCATTTTTTTTTTCTTCCTCTCTCTCTCTCTCTCTCTCATGAATCTCGGTTATAGTGAGTGCATCAGTCCACATTGGACTACGAACGCTGTGCCGTCGTTGGTTTACGGCGGTGATAACAACAAAACAGCCACATGTTCCCAATTGGGGTTTCCAGATTCCGTTTGTAAGCGGCGCCCTAGTTTCTCGAATTTAAGGATTCAAAACGAAAGGGAATGTTTGTCTCATCGGGCAATCACTCCCGTGGAAGATGAGATCCCTTCGCCTCCTGCTGTTGATGAAGACCCCACTCGGATCACTCTTTCTACAGGCTTTCACAAGGATTTAAACTCTCTCCCAAGTGAGTTTTTTGTGCTTATGATTTTTTTTTTCTGAGTAATTTTAATTGATTCAAGTGAGAAAAAAATTACTCATCAACATTTCACTGTATTTTTATTTTATTTTATTTTATTTTGTATTAGATGCCAATTTGATTTAATTGGAGATGTATGCTTGGGAATTAAAGTGACGTATATCTATTTTTTATGGTTTATTTGGATATAGCTGAAATTCTGCTTGCTAGAGTGTGTCTTAGAGTGCCTTATGGAGTTTTCTAATGATTAGTCCTGTTATTTTGACGGCATATTTGGAGTTAATTTAGCCGATAGTAATCTGCTGAAGTTGCAAGGATTTGTTTTAATACTACGACAATTGCCATATCTAACTCATTCAATGGTAATCCTTATTGGATTACTGTCGTGTGCACGTTTGTTTAGAACAATTGATCAAAAAGATGCTATGATTTTGTCGTTTTTTGATGTGTTAATAAAAAAAAGGGTGTTATCATTTACTGAGGTCGCAAATGCTTACAGTTAGCGATACGCGGATAGCGACAAAATTTAGTTGTTCAACTACTTTCTCTTATGATTAATAATAATCAGTCAATAAATGCCGTCCGTAACTCTCACATACCATATGTCAGATAAATTTTGATTCGACAACCAATGTAATTAATTGACTTACTTCTTTCTTTTGGACGTTCATAATAATGTTTAAATGCAGAACCCTTATCTGCAATTAATCCTTCCAGTTCTTCTAGTGATCGGACAAAAGTTCGTGTTGCGTATCGGGTATGTGATCTTCTAATTCTGCTATAAAACATTCGTTAAAATGTTTTAACTTATTTTCCTCTAAAGCATTTTGCTTGTGTTATTTAGGGCGTTCCAGGAGCATATAGTGAGGCTGCTGCACGAAAAGCATACCCCAAATGCGTGACTGTTCCATGTGATGAATTTGAGGATGCATTCAAGGTTATGATGTTTCTCAAAATGTGTTTTTTTTTTTTTCGTCAATCATGATATTTCTCTTTACACCTTCATTTTGTTGACTTCCTTTTTCAGGCAGTTGAATTATGGCTGGTGGACAAAGCAGTACTTCCCATTGAGAATTCTGTCGGTGGGAGCATCCATCGTAACTATGACTTGCTGCTTCGTCATAGCCTCCACATAGTTGGGGAAGTACAGTTGATTGTCGATCACTGTCTTCTAGGATTGCCAGGTGTCAGAAAGGAGGAGCTAAAGCACGTTTTGAGCCATCCTCAGGTAATTAATTAATCCTTTATATCTCTTCCACACACGTGTATTCCAAAAGAATCTACAATATCTTTAGTGATTCACTAAGAGAAAAAGGCGTAAAACTATGTTTCGCATTTAAATGACTTTGGATTTTAAATCGTGCTTGCATAGGAATGTGGGGTCAAAACTACTATCCCACTTGGTTTTATTAATGCAGTTAAATGAAAATCTGAATGTAAAACAGCACTTTTAATTGTTTGTTGGTGTGTTATAGCACGTCCCACTTACGAACTTAAATATAATCAAGAAATTAATTGTGGTGGTTTCAGGCACTTGAGCAGTGTGAGAGGACTCTGAACGAGTTGTCTGTCACCAGAATCAATGCTGTCGATACTGCTGGTGCAGCTCAGGTATCTTTTCAAAAGTTCTATGTCATTTAGCAGTTTTAGTTAAGTCACATTAACATCAGGGCAGATTGTAGCCTCTGAAGGTTTGAGAGAGACAGGAGCAGTTGCAAGTGCTCGAGCTGCAGAAATTTATGGACTTAATGTTCTTGCTGAAAGAATACAGGTAACCTTTCTGCTGATCCTCTTAGCTGTGGTGCTATGTGTTTGGGCTTCTCTATTTTGTCTTTGGAGGAGAACCATTTCTCTGCATTTTTAAAACAAGAAAAGGGAAAGATGGACTTAGTATTTTGTAACTTACCATGTTAAGGTGTATCGAAGAATGCAAGGTTTTTTGTCACTTGGAAGTGATTGAGAACAAATTTATGGATGGCCCAGTTTTATATCTGTTTTGCATCACTTGATCAGGCTCTAACTTGATGATTATCTTATGGAACTCGGAACGTGTAATGAAAATGTCACAAGTATTTTATAAGATCTCTTTCATTTATGCATGGATTCTTTAATTGCGTTAGATTACAGAATATACTTGTTCTTGTTTAATTAAATCATTGAATTGATCCAACAAACAGGATGATCCCGACAACATTACCCGTTTTCTGATACTCGCAAGGGAACCTATAATTCCGGGAACAGAGAGACCTTATAAGGTATTTTTCTCTTTTACCAGGCACACATGTATGATACATCTCCCCGTGTTCTAAAACACTGAGTTTATTTTTCAGACTAGCATTGTTTTCACTATGGAAGAAGGCCCAGGAGTTCTATTCAAGGCCTTAGCAGTGTTTGCTATGAGGGGCATTAATTTGTCGAAGGTAACTATAACACTGAACTTTTTTGCAATCCTTTGTTCCTTTCCCACATTTACGAATGTTTACTATATTTGTTTGTAAAATTATACAACAGATTGAGAGCCGGCCACAGAAAAGGAGGCCTTTGAGGGTTGTTGATGACTCTAACAATGGGAAAGCCACGTGAGTGCCCTTTTTTTTTTTCTTTTCTTTTTTAATGAATGTTAGCCTTCAGCAGTATAATTATGTGATATATGGATCGGTATTAAGATGCTTATAAATTGGTAACGAACTCATAAGAAGAAATAAAAGAATGGAATACATAGATATCAGTATATCACTGTGATATGCATCTGGAACATGTTTGTACTAATTCACTATCCTCAGCTTTTGGAACTTAAATCGGTAGTGATGTGAAGGACGATTTTGTTATTTGTCGAAGTGATAACTGTCACTAGATTGATTGGCATAGCTTAGTAATTTTGCTGAGAAAATAAGCTCGGACGAAATCTCTGCGATTTTGAAGGATGTTTCTGCTGCTTTGCATGTATAAATGACATAGCTCTTTATTGCCTCGGTTATCATTTATGTTGAAACTCTTAGTAAGGCATGATCATTCTTTTGTTGCTAAAATAGACCTCTTGTATTGTCTATTGCATGGAAATAACAAAATCCCAAATTGCAGATACTTCGATTACCTCTTCTACATTGATTTTGAAGCTTCTATGGCAGAGCCTCGTGCCCAAAATGCGCTTTCGCATCTACAGGTCAGTTTTACACTTTTCCTTTTCTTTTTCAATAAATTATTTGCATTAGCAATTAACTAGTTACTAATGACGGCACCTTTTTTTTGGTTGTACAGGAATTTGCAACATTTATTCGAGTTCTTGGTTGTTATCCGATGGATGCAGCAAAATAGGATATCGTGATTCTTGAGTTGGATTCTCGAAGAGGGATGGTTAAGTTTGTACATACTCACAATCGTATTGAATCACTGGAGCAGCTTTACATGCTTGTACTTGAGCTGCTGCTATACATACTTTTACTTGAGCTGGTAAAGGGAGTGGCGATGCAAAATGAGACCAATTTCATTTTTCATTATTCTTTTTATGGATTCACCAATAGATTTTGTAGCGCAGTGTTATTCTTTTGCGAGTATAATCAAACAGACAAACACCCATTCTTGTACTTGATTTATTTTACTATCTTTCATTGAGTGCCTTCCTTTTTTTTTTATAAATAAATTATTTTATGCAATCAATGACCATCTTGTTGCACTTCATAATCTTTTTAATTAATTTTCGAATGTCCAGCCCCTAAAATTATAATTTATTAACGAAAAATACGTTCAAAAAATACGTTCATAAATTGCAATTGTAGTTGTATCTTCAACAGGCAAGTTTCAGTCTACGAAAAACCGACATAAATCAGTGCAAATAGTAGAAAATTTATACAAGAGATAATATTCCGAGTCTAAATTCTGGCTTTTATTTACTACTGAGCGCTAAGAAAGCTCGTTCTATTTAATAGGTGATTACATCACTGAACCAGAAACAGTACTGAGGTACACCACCATCGCAATTTTATCAGTGCCCTATTTATCCGACTCGAGTTCCTTCAGAAAATCTGCATTGTCAACCAGAACCTACACACACCACACACCACAAAATACGACCATTACATCTTTGAAGGCAATACTAATATTTATAGATCTTTTTCTCTCAAAAAAAAAAAATTATAGATCTTTTAAAATATGTAAAACATCAATTGGATTATATGGCCTCGAAAACTTACAGTTTTCCAGCCATCTGGGTCGAGGAAAGAAGTGATCTTAGTGTTAATTCCAGGGATTGGTCCTGGTTGTCGAGTTATCTTTCCTCCAAGCTCCTGAGTGACAAGGTTCACAACCTCTGCACTCTTATACACGTCGTCAGTGCTAATTGCGACCTGGAATGGAAATTACAAGTATAATTAGGCTGTAAAAGGAAAGTGATTATGCCGTAAAAGAATGTTGAAAAAAACATTAAGCTACCTGTGCATAAGCATTTCCTTTGGTGTATTCAGTTACACCATAGTTGTATGTCAGTTCCAGAACAGTTGTCTCGTATTCATCTGCGAATCCCATCATTGCTAACGTGTACTGCAAATTACAAGAGAGGGAAAAAAATCACTTCGGAAACCAGAATGAGAAGGTGAAAATAAAGCTCGATTTCGTGCTTAAGCCTAATACCTTATGTTCTGGTCGGTCTATCTTTCTCAAGAGTCTCAGCCCTAATGCCTGCACGAATGCAAATATTATTAGAAATCAGCATCGATCCCATTTACAGGAGCATATACATGTTTGCATTTAGAAATATTGCATCTAGAAGTATGGAAAATAAATGGAAAACGAGAAATCGAAACTATTTACAAGAACTGCAGAAACAAAAAATAGAGAAGAAAATTAAATTGTAAAGAACTAGAGATAGAAAAATAGGTCAGGCTTCATACACAATTGTCTCATGGAGAAAGAAAGCAGAGATAGCTTCACCGAATAATTAAAATTTGTATAAATCAAGGAGGAGTAAGAGTTTCACCTTCTCGTAGAATTTGATCGAACGATCAAGGTCACCGACACGAAGCATGACTTGGCAGAGTGGTTCAGGAGTGGGACCTCGTTGAATTAGCTCAAAGAGGTATCCATCGGGATCCTTAGCAAAAGCAATGACACTGGATCCACCTTTAACTGGACCTGGCTCTCGAGTGATAGTTCCCTCACCTTTGGCTTTTATATCTTCCACTAACTTGTAAACCTTGATAATGGAAATGAAGAAGTTGGAAAAAGTTAAATGAACTTCATACTCAGGCAAACAGGCTTCACCGGTATCAATTGTCAATAGAGAATAAATAAACAAATGGGTGCTTACATCTTGAGTTGAAATAGCAAAATGTCCAAAACCCGTTCCAATGTCATATTTTTCAACTCCGTAGTCTGTTTTAATGTATCGAAGAATGTCAATTAGCAATTAGGGGATGCATAAATAATCAGAGAATGAATGCATCCAAAGAACTTGCAATTTGTAATGGGCAATGAATGTATGAAATGCAATTTATATATTTCGATGGGTTCTAATAATCCTACACTAACATCATTGAATACTCATTAACAATATTGAAATAGAGATTTCAACATACTGTAAGTCAACTCCACCACGAAATGAGATTCTTCTGGTCCAAAACCAAGAAAAGCATTGGCATATTTTTCGTCTGGAATATCCCTCTTCCTCAATAGCTTCATCCCAAGACATTCAGTGTAAAACCTAGAGGCAAGCAAGAATGAGCAATACGGATAAAATAAAGAAAAAAGTTGCATCTCAACCCACAGTCAAAACATACGGCTCCTTAATATAATACATACTTGATGGTGCGGTCAAGGTTTCCCACACGATACACGGCATGCAAAAATCGACGTTTGTCCTGCTTCGGCCATTCCAATAGTTCATGACTTGCTACAACTGGGGTTGCTCCCTCAGCCATTGCTCTGCATTCAGAAACCAAACGAGTTTATTATTATTACGAGACAATTTATGAAAGAAGATTAGTTCTCCTAAACATAAATCCAAAAGCAGCATAAGCTATTAATCCGGTAAAGAAAATAAACGGCACCAGTTCAACATCGATAGCGGGAAATGCTGCTACACCGAAAAATTGGTATTACATTTCCTAAAGACCTTCCTCCATCAAAATACCAGAATCGGGTTCAGAACTATTTCAATTTCTCAAAATCTCGAGGAACGTTATCGAAATCATCAATTTCCCTTCCACTTTTCAATATTCTATAAGAATTATAAGATGAATAAATAAATAAATTGAGGGTTTAGAAGAAAGGAAATAAAAAAAGTGATCCAAACATCCGTGCTGACTATAAGCAAAATAAAAGATTAACACATCATTACCTGATAAAACAGCTAATTATAAAACCAAAATCATAATAAAGTTGTTTAATTAATTAAATAATTGCGGATTTCTGGCCCAAAATTGTGCAGATTCATAGCTTATTCTTAAAAAAAATACAAAACAATTCAGACAGCAAAACTAAGATCGGAAACAGCAAATCAATAATACCATGAAATATAAGTCACAAAACTCAAGCAATCTGATCAAAGGGGGAGATGAAGAACGTACCAGAGCGAGTGATCGGAATTCTGACGAGGTAAACTGAAAGATCTAGAACAAGCTTTCACTGCGAGTACGCTGAATGGATAATCCGGTGGTACGCGTATTTATAATCTCGTTTAGCGAGGTTTGATATCGTTACGGGGAAGAACACATTTGTTTTGTGACAGTTGATCACAGCTGTTGGTTCTTTGGAAGGAAGTAATAGATCTACGGCTCAAAAGCGTCTGTCTTGGTTTAGAATGACAGCTTAGTAAGCAGCCATCCCTCTACTCCCGATTTTTTCTTTATTGAGTTTTAATAATGGAAATAATTCAGAATCAAGGGTTTTTAATTTTGTAATAACAAGTTTATTAAGTTTTTTTTTTCTTTTTTATATTTTGGGTGTATTTAGTTTATAACAAATTTCCATTTTTCAAATTGTAATGTCCGTTTTTATTAGTAGTTATTATTATGGTAAATTAAAACTCACCCTATTATATTGAATTTGGTTAAAATAATTCGAATTGAAATGAAGAATTTCAAAAAAAAAAAATCATACTAAATAATCTATGCAACCTAAATTTTAGGGTAAATTACAACCACCCCAGAGGTATGGTTAATTTACGAAAAAATCATTTTTGTTTGGATAATTACATCGAACCCCCTCAACTATGTTTTTTCTTACATTTCTATCCTTATCGTGTCAAATTCAACATAATCGTTTAGATTTCGTGGAATGTGCTATAGTTTGTACTTATTTTGTGGAAAAATACAGTTTCTGATATACCGCAATCTGATATATACAAGCCGAAAAGCACATATTATGATCATCTTGCTTCAAAATGTGAAGTTCGAATGTGATAAAATGGGTACAAAAGTGATAATATTCCATCTAATCTCGAAAATTACACTAAATTTGAAACCGCAAGGGTGGACATGTAAAAATATTTATAGTTGAGGGGGTCGTTGTAAGTATCCAAACATGAAGGGAATTTTGTAAATTGACCATACCTCAGGGATGGTTGTAATTTACCCAAAATTTTATTGCTGTGAATTTGGAATTATTTAATTCATATATAATTGCAATTATTAATAATATATATAATTATTAAGTTAAAAATCTCCACTTTAATTATTATTTAATATTTGGCAGCCACGTTTCTCTCTCTCTGGCCCGCCACGTGACGAAAGTGCTGAGGCGGACTCTAATGCCACGTCGGATCAGCCTCAAGGCTGAGAACACGTCCAGATGCAATGAACCTGGAATGCCTCCGTTCCCCCTTCCTATTATAAAATTCAGTTTCATCCACCTTCTAAATCACTGCAACCCAGAAATTCACAATAATTCTCAAAACAACCAGAAACCATAATTCACGATCAATTTTCTCGCCAGTTTCGATTTTGCTGTTTACTATTAACATTACAGAAAGGAGATACAACAATGGCGTTTGCCGTCACATCTTCATCCGCGCTTCATAGCTCGTCTTTGTCCTCTTCGATTGAGCAAACCAAAGGTATAATTATTTTTCCGTTCAATTCATACTTTCTAGGTTTTGGTTTGTCGACATTCTGTTCTAAATGAATAACCTTGTTTTTGTTTCCTTTTGATAGCAGCCGCGCAATTCGGTTCGTTTCAGCCGTTGGATAGGCCCAATTTCAGATCCACGGCCGTGAATTTTTCACTGAGGCGTTGCTCCGTGAAGCCGTTGAATGCTGAGCCAAAGAGGAACGATTCGATTGTTCCTTCCGCAGCGACCTTGTTTGCTCATGGTACGTGACGATTTAATTTGTATTTCATTTTTTTGCCTTCAGTTTTCTGCATGTGTAATTTTTTTATTTTAATTGAGGCTGGATCTATATGGGGAATGTTGTGATGTTGACCTTTGAATCCATTTATTTATACAGCGGAGGCTGTGGAGAAAGTGGAAGTAGAGGATTACGAAATATTGGCAGAGGAGCTCGAAAATGCTTCCCCGCTTCAGATCATGGATAAGGCTCTCGATAAGTTTGGGAACGATATTGCAATTGCTTTTAGGTAATCTACAAAACTATTCTTTGATTGCATTTCATTTGGGTTCAGTCACCAATTTGTGCGACGAAGTTGCATTGGTTATTAGTGAGGAATATTGGTAGATCCTCTTGAAACGTAGCTAATGAGTGACTCCGTTCTGATATATTATCTAATGTTCTCTTCAATGTTTCTTGATGATGATGTGTTTGATTGTTTACTAGTGGCTAAGTTATTGATCGAACTGGTTCAATTTTTTTTGCAGTGGGGCTGAAGATGTCGCTTTGATCGAATATGCGCACTTAACCGGACGCCCGTTCCGTGTTTTCAGTTTGGATACGGGGAGATTGAATCCCGAGACGTACAAACTCTTCGACGAAGTTGAGAAGCGCTACAACATTCGCATCGAGTACACATTTCCTGATGCCACCGAAGTTCAAGATCTCGTCAGGAGCAAAGGTCTCTTCTCTTTCTACGAAGACGGCCATCAAGAGTGCTGCCGCGTGAGGAAGGTTAGACCCTTGAGGAAAGCCCTCAAGGGTTTAAGAGCATGGATCACTGGCCAGAGGAAGGATCAATCCCCCGGTACCCGATCTGAAATTCCGGTCGTACAGGTGGACCCTGTTTTCGAGGGAATGGATGGTGGGGTCGGCAGCTTGGTGAAGTGGAACCCCGTTGCCAATGTGAAGGGTAATGATGTGTGGACTTTCTTACGAACGATGAACGTGCCTGTAAACTCGTTGCACGCCAAGGGTTATGTATCGATCGGGTGTGAGCCGTGCACGAGGGCGGTGCTGCCCGGTCAGCACGAGCGGGAAGGGAGGTGGTGGTGGGAAGATGCCAAGGCGAAGGAGTGTGGCTTACACAAAGGCAATGTGAAGGAGGAGAATTTGAACGGCCATGGAAATAGCACCCTTCATGCAAATGGAACTGCTGCTGCACATGCCGATATTTTTGATGCGCGGAGTGTTGTTAACTTGAGTAGGGTTGGGATTGAGAATTTGTTGAGGTTGGGGGAAAGGAAGGAAGCTTGGGTGGTTGTGCTGTACGCGCCTTGGTGCAGGTTTTGCCAGGGTATGGAGGGTTCGTATTTGGAACTGGGGGAGAAGCTTTCTGGTTCGGGTGTTAAGGTGGCTAAGTTCCGAGCAGATGGGGAGGAGAAGGCGTTTGCGCAAAGGGAGCTGCAGTTGGGGAGTTTTCCGACTCTGCTGTTTTTTCCGAAGCATTCTACGAGGCCAATAAAATACCCGTCGGAGAAGAGAGATGTCGAGTCGTTGTTGGCCTTTGTGAATGCGCTTCAATGATAGATACATTAACTGGACTGAAGTGTATATGATTCGGGTAAATTAAGATATAGAGAAGAGAATCTCTGGGGAAGTTTTGTGTACAAGTAGAGCTTTTTATCTTCCCAGCTTTACTGCGAATAATTAGTGTTTAGTTGTGTTTCTTTTGATGATGTTAGTAGGGTGTGGGTTTGTATGTTGAGGTTGGAAGCTGTGGTTTGAGATTGTAATTGGTTGAAGGTGAAAAGATGAATGAAATACTCATCAGTTTCTCTCTCTTTATTTTTTATGAAAGATAAAAAAAAAATATTTATCATAAATCAAAATAGAAATCCAAGCCCGGTACCCCTGTCACTTTAAGCTGTAGCCCAAGATCCATATAATGATAGTGGGCTGGTTAATGGGCTGGACTTACTTGCCAATTCAAGTCCTGCATCTTTTATACAAGAACATATCTGTATAAATTTTAGGTTAATTACGGTCAAATTACGAGAAAAATACACCTCCTCAACAATGAATCTTCTTACACATTCATCCGTAGCTCTGGTTTGTATTCGTCTTATTCGAAAATGCAGTTTCTAATGCACTACAAATCTGATATTTACAAGCCAAGAGACACATCTTATGATTTTAAAATATAGAGCTCGAATAGGGTAAAACGAGTACAATTGGAGAATATTCCACATAATCTAAAAGATTTCATTAAATTTAATACCTCAAGAATGAATATGTAAGAAATTCATAATTAAGAGGTGGTTGTTATAACTTATAATTAGTCACACATGAGGGGTTTTTCCGTTATTTAACCTCTACGAAGGTGACCATAATTCACTCTAAAATTTATACAGTGTTACCATCTTTTGATAGTAATTAGTACTACCAACTATTAACTAATTGATATCAAGCCATCTTCGTCCTTATTATAGATCTTTACAAGTTATCTGTGATATTATCACACATTAAATAATAATATTAAAATTAAATAGTAACAACTAACAACACGGTAGTGATACTATTATTAAAACAAATAAATCCCACACCAATATTGTTAAAAAATTCAAAATCAAAATACGCAGCAAAGCTTCAGAATCTTTCATTAGATCTCTGCAAGGGGTACCTACGTCATTTTAATTAACAGACAAAACTTATCTCAAGGATCCAACCTGTAAAATCCAGAAGAATCCCAGGCCTAGAGAGTTTTCAACTTTCAAGTAATTACAGCCATAGCCCCCACCAAAACTGACTCTCATAAAACCTCCATCAAAAAAATTAAAGTAACCTTTCCTTTCTTGTTTTTATAGACAACCATTTTCTCCTTTTTATTTTCATCCTCACGTTACTTTTACTCACACTGTCCTAACTTTTCTTCTGCACCAAAAACCCACCATTTTTTACACACAACACAGAATTTCATTGTCGGTTCGCGAGGGTATTATGGTCATTTTGTAACTTTAGAAATCCATCCACTGCGAATCTAGTTCAGAGCACACTCAATAACGAAGTAACTTTCGCCCTCCATTTCATCTCTGGATCTTGCTCTGTCAAAGTAATTACCTAACATTTGTTAAAAAAAATAAAAAATCTGGTCTTTAGGTTTAGCTGAAACCGGAGAAGATGATTCAAGAAACCATACAGACTCTCCGTAATGGATAATTACAACCTCATTCTCTTCTTCCTTCTCCTCTTCATTTCTTCGGGTAATTTAATATTTCATATTTATTTAATGCTCATAAACCCTATCAAGAAACTATCTTTAATCATTCATATTGTCCAAAATGTGACTAATTTTGTGTGTGTGTGTGTGTGTGTTTTGCAGAAATTAGGGCGCAGCAGCAAGATAAAGATGAGCCCTTTGTGGGGGTGAACATCGGCACAGATGTTACGAATTTGCTGCCGGCGGCGGATTTGGTGGCTTTCCTTCAGTTGCAGAAGATAACCCACGTCCGCCTCTACGATGCCGACGGCGATATCCTCCGGGCGCTCGCCAAAACCAAAATCAGAGTCATCGTCAGCGTGCCCAACAACCAGCTGCTCGCTATTGGCTCCTCCAACGCCACCGCCGCCACCTGGATCGGCCGCAACGTGGCGGCGTACTACCCCGAAACCCTCATCTCCGGCGTCGCCGTCGGCGACGAGGTCCTCACCACCATCCCCACCTCCGCCCCTCTCCTCATGCCGGCGATCGAGTCCCTCTACAGCGCACTCGTCGCCGCGAATCTCCACACCCAGATCAAGATTTCCACCCCCAATTCCGCCTCCATAATCCTCGACCCCTTTCCGCCGTCGCAAGCCTTCTTCAACCAGAGCTTAACCCCTGTTCTAACCCAACTGCTCCAGTTCTGCTCAAGAACTCAGTCACCTCTGATGATGAACCTCTACCCCTACTACGTCTTTATGCAGAACAAAGGCGTTGTCCCTTTAGAAAACTCCCTCTTCAAACCCTTAACCCCATCGAAGGAAATGGTCGACCCGAACACTTTGCTGCACTACACCAATGTGCTCGACGCAATGCTCGACTCCGTTTACTTCTCGATGAAGAATCTCAACGTAACTGATGTTGTAGTGCTCGTGTCCGAAACGGGTTGGCCTTCAAAGGGTGATTCGAAGGAGCCCTACGCGACAATCGACAATGCAGACACGTACAATTCGAACTTAATCAAGCACGTATTCGATCGAAGCGGGACCCCTTTACACCCCGAAATCACCTCCAATGTGTACATATACGAATTGTTCAACGAGGACTTGAGGTCACCCCCAATTTCCGAGGCGAATTGGGGTTTGTTCTACGGTAACTCGACACCCGTTTATTTGCTTCACGTTTCGGGAAGTGGGAGTTTCTTGGCGAACGATACTACAAACAGGACTTATTGCGTGGCCGTGGATGGTTTGGATGGGAAGACTTTGCAGACGGCTTTGGATTGGGCTTGTGGGCCCGGGCGGGCGAATTGCTCGGAGATTCAACCGGGGCAGAGTTGTTACCAGCCGAATAATGTGAAGGGTCATGCTTCTTACGCTTTCGACAGCTATTATCAGAAGCAAGGGAAGTTTGCTGGTTCTTGTGATTTCAAGGGTGCTGCCATGATCACCACAAGTGATCCTAGTAAGTAAAGATTCATTTTTTATTTTTCGATAATGTTTAGTTTTCGTCGAATATTAAAAAGGGTTGAAGTTCAAATCACTCCAAGTGATCCTAGTAAGTAAAGATTCAATCTTTATTTGTCAATGTTTAGTTTTTGCATCAAGAATGTGGATGAAATGGAGGGGGAAGATGAGATTTTCTTGAATGTTTTTAGGGCATCTTTGTCTCACATTAGACAAGCTTGTGTGTCCAAATACATGTATGGGGGGGAGCCCACTTGGGCAGAATTGGAGTGGACAACACTTGGCAAAAATATTATTGCTTTTACCTTTCATGTTTGCTATTGTGTGTGTGTGTGTGTGTGTGTGTGTGTGTGTGTGTGTGTGTGTGTGTGTGTGTGTGTGTGTGTGTGTGTGTGTGTGTGTGTGTGATACATACAGACAGAGAGTTTGTGTGTGTGTAGCTGTGAATAGAGATGTATATGTCTATGCGTGTATGTAATAACATCCACCTCTCGAGCGTGTGTGTGAGAGTCAGCGCGAAAAAGAATGTGTGAGAGTGTGTGTGTGTGTGTGTGTGTGTATATGTTTATCGACATGGAGAGAGCGTGTGAGCGAAAAAACGAGATATCGGGACGTCTATCGTGTCTATAGG